AAAATTAGGCTATTTAAAAAATATTTAAGCGCCTACCTCGCATGGTGTTTGATGTACCTTTAAGTTTGTAAAGACCTATTAAATACTTGCATAATTTCGAACGTTCATATTTCAGGAAACAATGAGCTAAGACTTACATGTAAGATCTCTAAATCTACGCTATATTCCTTACAAACCCTAACGACAATTCGCTTAAATACAAGTTAGCCTGATATGTCATTAAGCAAACAAACGCTGCAGTTAATGAAGTTGAATATGTTGGAAAGAGATAGATAGTTAAAATCGAACAACTGGCCACCAAGCAGGACAACAATAACTTGAAACACATTTTGTGGCATATATTTTGGGCAGAGAAGTGCTCGAAAACAGTTCCGGCCGAACTGTCTAGAGGCTCCCGCTAACCTAAGTTTTATCTAGAGAAACAGGCGAATCTCTAGACTGCAGAGGGCATGCTTGACTCTGTGCATGTCGTTCCGCGAGTTGAGACCTAGTTGGACTGGTGAACAACTATTGGTATAGGGCACATTACCCAGGGTACTCAAAGCTGGCTGAGGATACACGCAAAAACTGTAGGTTGTTCTAGAAGAACAGACGGACCTCTAGATAACAGGGGAACAGGCGAACCCCCGTTCAGATCCGTCAGGCCGTCGACATTGAGACCTAGTTGGAGTGATGAACAACTATTGGTATAGGGCACATTACCCCGGGCCGCAACTGATAACCTGACTGACCACATCGAGTCTGTAGAACTGCTCATTCAGGTCTTCAGTGCGACCTGAATGACCAGTGATTGCGCTTCACGTGGTGAAGTGTTGTCCATCGGACAGCACTTCCCTGCCAGTAATTAAATATTTATTGCATTGTTTTTTTTTTACACAAGTGGGTTACAAATCTATGAGTAACATGTCTAACTATATACAGGAATGTCCATTTTTACTAGTTAAGAGTCCTTACAACACGCCATTGTAGAGACGCAGATTGGTGTACATGATAATTGGGAGCTGGGTGGTTTTTTTTTCAAATTTTCACTTCTTTGCCAAGGTTTTTATCCCTTGAATTATGAACTAAAAATTTTGCCAGAGATGTTAACGCACTGGCTAAAGTCTTCAGAATGAACAAAGCACGTCGAAACTGCGATCAAAAGTCCTTGCGCAAAAAAGGGGGGCATTGTATGTATGCACGTGAAGGAAAACCTTCAGGATAACTTCTGATTGGTTAATCTCAAGTTTGCATCAGTTGTTCACATGCTTAGTAGCCAAAGTTCGATTTTTATCTGATATTTTGTAATATTAACAGGACTAGAAAACGATTCCCTTGTTCTGCCAAGGAATTTGGACCTTGTACGCACCTTGCACGGATTGATTTTGTGACGCAGATGTGTTGGCAGACAGAAAACACACTCGGGCAAATGGAGTCTTCTAGAACATATCACTCCATTAACAGCAATTTATAGCTTTGCTTAAATTGATTATCTAATGAAGTTGAATATGTTGGAAAGAGATAGATAGTTAAAATCAAACAACTGGCCACCAAGCAGGACAACAATAACTTGAAACACATTTTGTGGCATATATTTTGGGCAGAGAAGTGCTCGAAAACAGTTTCGGCCGAACTGTCTAGAGGCTTTCGCTAACCTACGTTCTATCTAGAGAAACAGGCGAATCTCTAGACTGCAGAGGGCATGCTTGACTCTGTGCATGTCGTTCAGCGAGTTGAGACCTAGTTGGACTGGTGAACAACTATTGGTATAGGGCACATTACCCAGGGTACTCAAAGCTGGCTGAGGATACACGCAAAAACTGTAGGTTGTTCTAGAAGAACAGGCGGACCTCTAGATAACAGGGGAACAGGCGAATCCCCGTTCAGATCCGTCAGGCCGTCAACATTGAGACCTAGTTGGACTGATGAACAACTATTGGTATAGGGCACATTACCCCGGGCCGCAACTGATAACCTGACTGACCACATCGAGTCTCTAGGGCTGCTCATTCAGCTCTTCAGTACGACCTGAATGAGCAGTGATTGCGCTTCATGTGGTGAAGTGTTGTCCATCGGACAGCACTTCCCTGCCATTAATGACAATCTACACGAAGTATACGTTGTCATTTCCGCCACGGGAAGCAGCACAGAGTCAACCGGGTCGGCAATAAAGTGAAAAATGGGTGGATAAAAATAAACTGCATGGCAAGGAAATAGCGAGACTTTTTTTATTTTTTTAAATAATTTTTCTTTGCGTTTATAGCATGTCAATGTAAGGCAGATTCGTTAAGCGTTTAAACTTTTGAGGTTGTTTTTATTTGGAAAAACTAGTTACAGACCCGTTTCAGTTCATTGCCGACGCGGCCAAGTCCGGCTACGACACGCTTATAATTATTAGCCGGTTATGTGGACCGTTAACGCAAATTCAATGGATCGGTTCTGCCTCGTCCGCAGTCGCTTGCTATCAAATAATTAATTAGTAAAAGACGAAAAAAAATTAATGTGGGCCCGCGGGACGATGGGAAGGGGAGGAGTTGCGGAGCGACTGGCAAATCCTGCATTCAAGATGGCGACCGCTGCAATTGTGGACGAAGGATTGTCGTCCGGTTCATATTTGCATTTCCGACTTTGGAGTGGGGAAGATTAAAATATCTCGGCAAGTATTTGCTCGCCCTTTAAAACGAAAACCACCATTGAAATCCTCATAAAATAACCTTTCGAACGGGGGGTCAAATGCCGTCATAACATTACACAAACCAAAACGATCGTATATTTACTTGCCGCTTGGCCAAACATTCTTATTTCATATCGAGAAAAACTTGAATATCTTCTAAACTCTTCAGAATTCGCCCAAGTTAATAGCAGTAAAATATTCCTTGTATTCAAGCGATTTTATGTAGAGAGTTTCGTCTCAATACGACGAGCAGAAATATTTATTTTGAATTTTTCAAAATATCAGGTTTCTACTCGCACGCGCGTGCCACCGGCTGAAATTTAGATATTTTTAAATACTGAAATAAAAGATACAAATCTGCAGATACAAGCTGGAAAATAAGACTCTAAATAGTGTGTTGGATTGTGATTCGAACAAGACTAATACGAAAAAGATACGTTGAAAGGAGCCGAAGTTATATTCGGCGAAAGGTATGGCTTAGTGATACATGGCCATACATTGTTTACATTGTTCAAGTATATTGTATATATGTATGGTATGGCTAGTTTACGTTGTTCGAGTATCGCTAGTTTATATTTTATGGCTATCTACAGTGTTCGAGCAGATAGTTTATTTCAAGCGGAATTTTTTGGTGGTATTTTGAATTCGTATTTCTTCGTATTTCTCAGCATTTAGCCCATTTGCAGATTTTCGAGTAAATTCGCAGATTTTCGAGTCACGATTTGGCAGGCCCTTATTTTAATTTTTTTCGTCTTCCCAGCATGCATCACAACAGATTTGTTCAGCCACTGATCTATATATTAAACTGATATGTCTATATATACACTGATCAACAAATAGTAAGGGCCTGCGGAGGAGGCAGGGATCGGTTTGCATTATGAAATCGCGGTATGAATGACCAACCCTCCACGAAGTACGCGAAAAGGATCCACATAACCATGCAAGCTATACCACTAACAGCTAAAGTAAATATAATAATTTAACAGAGTGGACTTAGACCTTTTGGTTTGTATTTGCAATGAGTTTTGATGTTACAGACACTAAAACGTCCTTCGGAGTTCTTATATACCTTTCATAACAATCTGAGGACCAGCGTCCAAGAGTCTTATTAGCCAAGTAGGGAGTCCTGCTGAACCAGCTGCTGTAGCTGCTCCAATTCTGAAGTTATGTGAAGCATACAGGGTTTCGTCTAGTCCTTGCTGCTGAAGTAAACTGCGTAGATGTGAAGTTAGTGTTGTACGGGAGAGTGGAGCTCCAGATTCAAACTGAAAAAGAGGTCGGCTTTCGGGGATGGAAGGTGTTTGGAGTAAATAATTCTTCATTGCTCGTACAGGGCAGAATTCATTAAGAGATGATCCAATTGTTAAACGGCATCCCCGGCGAAATGGGTCAGTTTTTGAGCGTTTGATGATGACGTCAAAGTGTTCTGCATTCAAAATGTTCGGGTAGAAAATAATGCCAGTTCTTGAAAGGTGGTGTTCAGGATCAAACGGGGAATTACAAGTAAACTCGCTGCACCGCGGAAAGCCGAAAAAGGCTAAAGTAAAGGCAGCCCAGAGCATCACATTGTCTATAGAATCTGTAAACTGGGGACGTAGTGCACGATGAAGACATGCGAGTTCTTTAAAAGTGATGGGCCGACGATCTCTCGTTTTTTCACCCTTCAGGCATTTCAGACCTTTCAGACATTTTTCTAATAGTTGCATGGTCCCCATATTGAATGGCACTTGGAAAATGACGTGCAGATAAGACACGCTGGCTAGATACGTTTTGACAGTTGCATAAGAAACTGATTGGGATAAATGTCCCACAAAGTAAAGTAAAGTAAAGTAATTTCAGTCGCAGGCAGCAGAGGTGAACAAGGTGTCACGATCCCTTTTTCGAGACAAAAAGAAATAAACCGTTTAATACCGGCTGCGTATGTTTGTTTTGTTGAGGTCGCCCAAGAATGTTGAATTAGTTCATACACACGGTCTCTTAGGTTTGAATCATTGATGACGGGATGACGCAAGGCAGAGGAGAGGCCAACGGCGCTAATTGCTTGAAGTAATGCAGTATCTGTCGAAAGTCCAATTAAAGTACATTTCAATCCGGAGAAGTTTAATTAATTATATATATTAAAAAATTGTGCCATTCCAGTTACAATACAACTACAGAAGTGCAATTTTAAATATGACGGCGGTAATTAAATATGATGTCTATGCTTATGTCTACCTAAAACTTATGAAAAAAATGTTCCATATAACTATGACTCCAAATTCCATCGCAACGAGCGGCAATACAACATACCAATATATAATGACAGGTATTTTTGACGCTGTCAGTGGTTAACATACTAAACAAGTGACTACATAGTGTCTTCTGGAAAATTAGAAGTCAGAGAATTAATTATATTTGCAACCATTTTTTCCTTAGCATCGAGAATGTTGACACGGTTAGCAATGTCGTTGTCAGAATTAAGGAAAATTGATGCTCCTATTGAAGCAGTGTTAATGGCTTCAGACATCGCCGAGAAATTGAGTGAAAGTTGTGAAATATTTTCAAGTAAGTTCAGCATGACAGCAGGATCATCAACTTCTTGGAGCAGGTTTACTTTAGGCATAAAGTACATTGGAAGATTTTGAATTCTCAAAGCTTCTGCTAACTCGTGAAGTAATGTAACAAGATGATGAACTAAAGTTTCTTTAGTCCAAAATTCCATTGAGGTTTTCTCAAAATGCCAAAATGCGATGGTCTTCAAGTAATAACTTGATATAATTCCCTTGACTGGTAGATTCCAGATATTTTGGTGGTATTTAACTACAGCTTTGAAAGCTCTCATTACTTTATGCTGCAGTGGTGAGAGAGTTCGAATCAACATGGTTTCAGCACATGAAAACGATAAATGAAAATCGCCTGCAGCGGAGCTCTTTGGAACAAGGTGAAATCCACTTTGTGTGATTTTTTCCACGGAATATATATCTGGCCAAAGTCGTTCTCGTGTGATCCATTCTCTTGCACAATTTGGCCATCCTTCGCAGAATATTGACAACACAATGTCACTAGAAGGAAATAATTTATCGAGGACGGCGGCATACACCAATTCATATAGTGCGTCGAAAGGTCTATTGGTTGGTGGCGTTAAGAAATCCTTTCCCAATTCCGCGAAACACTCGAACGAAGGTTCGGGAGGTTTTGGTTTACGAATGGTCACTGCAGCACCTTCTGCAACCTCTTCCAGCTCCTCCTTCTTTCCTGAAGTATGGAACAGTCCACCAGCTTTTTTGTAGTTTTCTTCTAGCTTTTCTTTCAATTTTTTTGAAGATAATCGACGTTTTCCCGTTTGTTCGTCTACCTTGTGCAAAAACTCGCTCCACAGATGTTGTGTTTCTTCCTTTGTCACAAATGCGTAAACAAAAGGCGTATCTTCCCTTAACAACAAGCTCCCGTCTTCTTGATTATGTTGTAAAAAGGTGATATTCTTTAAGACACACATGAAGTCTATATCTGGTGACTCTGTTGTAGAATAGATGAAAAGACCTTCGCTGAAACTTCCGGATAGTATTGCTTCACCGAGCTGAAATGGTGGCTGAGTGTCAAAATAAGTTTCAAAATTTCTTCTGAAAATAAAATTCGAGGAAAAGTTTTCACAATCTTGCTTTAATTCTTGCAGCACATACATAGAACATTCATAAGGGATGTTGATCGTCTTAAGCAGATAATCAAAAATGTTCTCAAGATTCTTCGTGAATAAATCAGTCACTGTTTGGGCACCTACAGCTGGAACCCACATTTCACACACATCATTTGTTAAGGTCGAGTAATCCTCACTCGAAGATTGAATCATATTTCAATTTATTGACAACATCAGCATCCTCCAGTCGGTTTGAAACTCTTGCACTAAGAAGGCCTGTTTTAGTTTCCAGTATTAACCGAAAAGTGCAAGTATGCAATGAATGTAAAAGTATGCAATATTGAAAATTTATAATTTCAATTTTATCCATTACCTGTCATCAAGGCACGGAAAGCCGAACAATGTCGTCAGTACAACTAAAGGAGGGAAGCAGGCATTATGTATAACCCGTCATATCTACATAATCCAAATTTGTTTCCATGCTTTGTTGTGATAAGATGACGACTCTGCACCGTCAAAGCTGCCATTGTATAACATCAAAAAGACTATAGATGATGTCCGTTCACCCCACTGTTGTTTAATTACATCACAATGTTTTGGCTTGTATATAATAATTGCTTGTTCCTCGTCCATAATATTGTTGTAATTTTATGCAAAATCTAAAGCAACTTCGAGAAGCTCAAACATTCAAGGAAATAGATGAATAAAAGTCAATTATATCTAATGCGATAAATGAATGCTGATTTTTGTCGGCGATATTATTAAACCACGTCAGGACAGATTTCGTATATTTGATTATTCATGCCGATAACTCGCTTGATTCAAAGTCTCGACAACTTTTGCGTTGATTTTGTCTTGGATTTGTTTACTCAAACATGCGTTGAATTTGTTTATTCATACATACGTTGGTCTTGCTGAAAACTCCTCTAAAACCAGATTTTACCACCAGACTAAAGGGTATTTTTTTTTTTAAAAAGTTATATGAAGACAAGTTAGGATGCGGATGTGGGAGACACAGAAATATTATAAGTCATATCTCGAATACGCATGCGTACTACACGTAGTAGTTTTCAGGCAGCGCAAAGAGCCATGGATGGACTATGACTTTTGTGTGTCCGGCTCACATTAGCAACTGTGGACAGCTGTTTCGCCCTTTTGGGACTCATCAGCACAGTGTAGCTAATGGAAGAGCTGCACATCTTTGCGCTGCTTTAAAACTACGACATGTAGCACGCATGCGTATTCGAGATATGACTTACCTGTCACTTTTATAATATTTCTGTGTGTCCCACATCCGCATCCTAACTTGTCCTCATATAAATATCTGGATGTGCAGCTACTCCATTATGATATGGATATAGTCTGGCTTGCCAACGTTCATGTCACTTGTCTGGAGGATCCAAAGGATACACGACCCTTAAAATATTATAGATAGGTATACAGAAGGAAATTAGCATTGATCTGTCTGGAGTTCGCATTTCCTTCTGTATACCTATATATATATATATATATATATATATATATATATATATATATATATATATATATATATATATATATATATATATATATATATATATTATCACATACTTGTACCTTTATCAGGTAGGAAGCAGCGGGACATAAAAACGATATCGTCCCGGATATCGTTTTTGCCCGGATACGTTGTCCCGGATATCGTTTTTTGTCCCGGATATCGTTTTTTGTCCCGCTAAATTTCGCTCCTTGTCAAAACAAAGATGGCCGACTCGAGGTTCGTGTTGGTTGATGTCGACAGTTTATCGAAGAAAACAAGAACGATAATACAAAATGAAAGACTTAAATTGTATATTATTTATATGAATGGTCTATTTATTTTCTAAAATCATATTTGTTCAGTAAATGATGAATTGTTTTGAATTCTAAAGTGATCCTATTTTTTCAAAACTGTTTACTTTTGGGTGTCAAACCCTGATAAAGGTACAAGTATATAATAAATAGGTTCTTGTGCTCGGGATTCGGTGATATCAGTTTTATTGCTCTGAGGACTATATCACAATTGACAATTGTGATATCATCCCTCGAGCGATAAAACTGATCTCACCTCATCCCTTAAATGATAACCTATATATATATATATATATATATATATATATATATATATATATATATATATATATATATATATATATATATATATATATATATATATATAAGGTTGGTAGGTTCCATATTAATTCGTAGTGTGCAAGAAGACTCCTGTATTGCACCCTGGTTAGGCCCCAGCTGGAATATGCCAGTAATGTATGGTCGCCATATACCATCAAACACAAATCATTGATTGAAAATATTCAGCGGCGAGCGACGAAGTTTATACTGAACTACCCGAACGAAATGTCCTGTACAGAGAGGCTAATTAAGACAAACCTCCTGCCATTAGAATTCCGCCGAGAGATCTCCGACCTGTTGCTAGTTTTCAAATCAAAAACCGGACTAATATCTATGGATGTCAATAACTATTTATGCACCTTCGAACCAGGCTATAAATCACGACGCAATTACGACGAAAACAATTTCAACTTCCGGATTAATCACAAACAGGACTACTTTAGGAACTCTTTTTTTATAAGATCAGCCAACCTGTGGAACAGTCTTTCATCTAGTAATTAACTGTGGTATATCAATATTTAGAGCCAGGCTACGCGACTTCTATAATGCTAAATTACGATCATATAGTCCTCCTGGCTGCATCTAAGTAAATTTAATGTTATATAATATAGTTGTTTGTTTAATGATATACTAGTATTGATAGGGGTAAAGTGTCAATTGGGACGCAAATCCTGTTCTTTTCTCCAGTCACGTCTATGTTTAGTGTGTTATCTTGTTAGAATGTTGTGTTAGTGTTGCTTGTTTGCTAGTATACATTTTTTGTATATATCTATATAAAGGTGACGAAATTATTAAATTAAATTAAATATATATGTATATATATATATATATATATATATATATATTTATATATATATATATATATATATATATATATATATATATATATATATATATATATATATATATATATGTATATATATATATATATACATATATATATATGTATATATATATATATATATATATATATATATATATATATATATATATATATATACCGGGTGTCCCAAAAAAAAGTACTCCGGTTTGATTCGTAATAACTTCTAAACAAGTAAAGCTTTTAAAGATAAATAACTTGCATCAAATAGAGGAAGGACTAACTTAGATTTTGATATATTACAGTTGTATTTCACTTAAAAATTCACGGAGATATTAATGTTTAAAATCGGGAGCATATTTCTGGATGTGTCTGAAATATGCAAAAAACGGCGTATCAAATATTAATCAAGATTTGCCCGACTGAAACATGCACTATTACCAGTAAATAAATTACACTTGACAAATTGTTTATTATGAAACAAAGTATTATTATCTACAAAATACAAGCAAAATTTATTCGTCCGAAATCCATGTGTGTTCCTATAGCACGAATACGTTTCCTTATTTCATGAGACCACTGCATCGCGAAGGATCGTCATGGATCGTTCGTAGTTCTGAATTAGGGCATGCTGTCACAATGGAATTATGAAGCTCTTCTAACTTCTGCAACGTTCTGAAATAGTGTTAAGAACACCCAAACTCTTTTGCTTTTCTAGTTTCTTAATTTTGGCAAGTTCAGAATAAACTGAGAATGAAACGCAATCAAACCATACAACTCCATAAAGACATAACAAGCAACTCACCAGAGACATCCAACATTTTTGGAACAAAACGTAACAAAATAGTAGCGTTGATACTGTGATGTGTATTTGCAAAAAGCAATGTTATTTATTTCCTTCATTAAAGAATAATATTCATCCTGCTCTAACCGAGAAATAATCAACTTTGTTTTGAACCCATGAAAAACGTCAAAAAATTAGGCTATTTAAAAAATATTTAAGCGCCTACCTCGCATGGTGTTTCATGTACCTTTAAGTTTGTAAAGACCTATTAAATACTTGCATAATTTCAAACGTTCATATTTCAGGAAACAATGAGCTAAGACTTACATGTAAGATCTCTAAATCTACGCCATATTCCTTACAAACCCTAACGACAATTCGCTTAAATACAAGTTAGCCTGATATGTCATTAAGCAAACAAACGCTGCAGTTAATGAAGTTGAATATGTTGGAAAGTGATGGATAGTTAAAATCGAACAACTGGCCACCAAGCAGGACAACAATAACTTGAAACACATTTTGTGGCATATATTTTGGGCAGAGAAGTGCTCGAAAACAGTTCCGGCCGAACTGTCTAGAGGCTCTCGCTAACCTAAGTTTTATCTAGAGAAACAGGCGAATCTCTAGACTGCAGAGGGCATGCTTGACTCTGTGCATGTCGTTCAGCGAGTTGAGACCTAGTTGGACTGGTGAACAACTATTGGTATAGGGCACATTACCCAGGGTACTCAAAGCTGGCTGAGGATACACGCAAAAACTGTAGGTTGTTCTAGAAGAACAGGCGGACCTCTAGATAACAGGGGAACAGGCGAACCCCCGTTCAGATCCGTCAGGCCGTCGACATTGAGACCTAGTTGGACTGGTGAACAACTATTGGTATAGGGCACATTACCCCGGTCCGCAACTGATAACCTGACTGACCACATCGAGTCTCTAGGACTGCTCATTCAGGTCTTCAGTGCGACCTGAATGAGCAGTGATTGCGCTTCACGTGGTGAAGTGTTATCCATCGGACAGCACTTCCCTGCCAGTAATTAAATATTTATTGCATTGTTTTTTTTTTACACAAGTGGTTTACAAATCTATGAGTAACATGTCTAACTATATACAGGAATGTCCATTTTTACTAGTTAAGAGTCCTTACAACACGCCATTGTAGAGACGCAGATTGGTGTACATGATTATTGGGAGGTTGGTGGGTTTTTTTTCAAATTTTCACTTCTTTGCCAAGGTTTTTATCCCTTGAATTATGAACTAAAAATTTTGCCAGAGATGTTAACGCACTGGCTAAAGTCTTCAGAATGAACAAAGCACGTCGAAACTGCGATCAAAAGTCCTTGCGCAAAAAAGGGGGGCATTGTATGTATGCACGTGAAGGAAAACCTTCAGGATAACTTCTGATTGGTTAATCTCAAGTTTGCATCAGTTGTTCACATGCTTAGTAGCCAAAGTCCGATTTTT